TTTTTTAATAAAAATTGTTTACAATTATAAAGCAAATAAGTTTCATTTGAAACATTTTTCAAAATTTTTGCTGGAAGGCGCTGTACACTGATATAAAAATTAAATTTTTTGAGGTTATCTCAATAATTAAGAGTTGTATCAAAAAAATTTTTTAATAAAAATTGTTTACAATTATAAAGCAAATAAGTTTCATTTGAAACATTTTTCAAAATTTTTGCTGGAAGGCGCTGTACACTGATATAAAAATTAAATTTTTTGAGGTTATCTCAATAATTAAGAGTTGTATCAAAAAAATTTTTTAATAAAAATTGTTTACAATTATAAAGCAAATAAGTTTCATTTGAAACATTTTTCAAAATTTTTGCTGGAAGGCGCTGTACACTGATATAAAAATTAAATTTTTTGAGGTTATCTCAATAATTAAGAGTTGTATCAAAAAAATTTTTTAATAAAAATTGTTTACAATTATAAAGCAAATAAGTTTCATTTGAAACATTTTTCAAAATTTTTGCTGGAAGGCGCTGTACACTGATATAAAAATTAAATTTTTTGAGGTTATCTCAATAATTAAGAGTTGTATCAAAAAATTTTTTTAATAAAAATTGTTTACAATTATAAAGCAAATAAGTTTCATTTGAAACATTTTTCAAAATTTTTGCTGGAAGGCGCTGTACACTGATATAAAAATTAAATTTTTTGAGGTTATCTCAATAAGTAAGAGTTGTGTCAAAAATTTTTTTAAATAAAAGTTGTTTAGAGTTATAAAAGAAATAACTTTTATTTGAAACATTTTTCAAAATTTTTGCTAGATGTCACTGTTTACTAGTATAAAGTGATTTCCCTGTGAATAGTACGGCAATTTAAGAAAATTCAAGACAATTTATGACATAAACAAAAAGAAAAATGATTTTTTTCTGTATTGGCATGTAAAAAGGATCGATTATGAAACGAAATTTATTCAAAGGAAGTTGTAAAACCGATTGCAAACATCAACGAAAAACATTTGAAATAAAGAAAAAGAAAATGTAGAAAAACAAGAGATACAAAACAAAAGTAACGTTATGGAAACTCTGTATCAAGTCATGCGTGACGAATTGCGACCGACACTTAACCGTTGAAACGTCAATTAATCGTCGCTTCGAACCGAAAAGCTACGAAACAATCACAGAAAAACGTCCCGTTCTATCGGAATTAACTTATTTACCGTTCCCCCTATCCTTAAAACGTGCATTCATCGTTAACCACGCGACCCCAAAAACCTCTCGCCCAGCAGCTTAATCGTCCCATCAACCGAAAATTTAATGATCCCATCGTAAGAGGTCATCCATTAGGCCGCAAGAGGGTGTTGCCTCTATCAATTAAGGCGCCTACTTTGTTCTTCCCCTAACCGGCACCGTCTATGATCTTGTTTTCACCCTAACTACAAGTTTTTTTTTAATCGGATACCCTCGCGACATCTGTTGGCGGTAAGCCGAAACTCGTACACCTTTGGTTTTTACCTCAATAGAAGTCCCGCCTTGAATTGGAGGGGAACCAATCGAATTTAACGTAAGAAAGGTTAATTTAAAACGAGTAGTTTTGATACTCGCGTATAGATGGTTAAAATTTTTTTTGGGCGATAAGAATGATTTGTAAAAGGGGCTTAATTGCAGTTTGGACACTTGTCCACTTTGGGACACGTGTCCGGTTGTTTTTAACGTCCCCATTTATCAAAACCCTTCGTAATGTTCGCCACTTTGTCTTTGAACCGAACTGGGTTCCCGTCATCCCGGGGAGATGCATTTTTCGACGGCAGATGTCGATAATCTCATTGGCCAATAACAATTTATTTTATTAGGATGGGAAAAGATTGATTTGATTTGATTTTGGGTGTGAATCAAAAAAATAGAGATAAAAATTAAAATGAAATGTCGGTAAAGTTCTTAAGAACGCTTCTAAGTCCTTACATTAAAGCTTTAACATGTCTGTCAGTTTAAGCGCAGCATGCGGTCTTTTTCGGAGGTGTCAACCGTTTGGGAATCATCCTTTCGCCTTTGGGTCATTCTCGCCCACTAAAGAACCACGTCGTAATCCTCAGGTGTCGCTACCGGGACATCTTTCCTTTTGTAACGCGCCAAGGTCTCGAAATATATTTGTCAACGTCTCACTTTGGCTCTCCGATTCAAAAAATCTTCTTTGTTAGGGGCCCCATTCTTTAAAATTAGACAATCTCTTCTCCAGAGTTCACAAAATTACGTTTTTGGAACATCAAATTCAAAAGATTCGGAAAACAATAATTCTTAAGATATCTTATCGCATTCTTAAGATGTAATGATGAAATTATCTTCACCTATAGAAGAAAGTGTGTACTATTTGATGAAGAAACCCGAATTTAGAAATATCCATCCGTTTTTGAGATAATTATTGTTGACTTCAACCAAAGTTCTTAGGACTTGAAGAAATTAGCAAGTTTTTTAATAATTTTTAAAAAATCGAATTCTTAAGATATATTAATGAAATTATCTTCACTTATAGAGGAAAGTGTGTATTATTTGATGAAGAAACCCGAATTTAGAAATATCCATCCGTTTTTGAGATAATTATTGTTGAATTCAACCAAAGTTCTTAGGACTTGAAGAAATTAGCAAGTTTTTTAATAATTTTTAAAAAATCGAATTCTTAAGATATATTAATGAAATTATCTTCACTTATAGAGGAAAGTGTGTACTATTTGATGAAGAAACCCGAATTTAGAAATATCCATCCGTTTTTGAGATAATTATTGTTGAATTCAACCAAAATTCTTATGACTTGAAGAAATTAGCAAGTTTTTTAATAATTTTAAAAAAATCGAATTCTTAAGATATATTAATGAAATTATCTTTACTTATAAAGGAAAGTGTGTACTTTTTGATGAAAAAACCCGTATTTAAAAATTTCCATTCGTTCTCGAGATAATTATTATTGAACTCAACCCAACATTTTTAAAGGTTCAAAAAATCTCAACAAACCTTTGTTAGAGGCCCTAATTTTAAAAATTAGACAATTTCTTCCGCAATGTTGAGAAAATTACGTTTTCGGAACATCAAATTCAGAAGATTCAGAAAGTAATTTATGGAACGCGAAAAGTTATTTCCCAAACGTCAAAACAACGAGCTGATAATTGATGGCATGTAAGATTCTTTCGAGGGTTCCTTCATAATCGTTTATGAGAGGGGAGAAAACGTCGTCGCTATAGATAAGGCCCTTACTGGCAGAGGTCAACTTCATGGACAGATGTCAGTTGATGTACGACACAATAATCTTCGTCCTCGCAACATGTTGCCCATGACTTAATCGAATATTTGTAACAAGGGTGATTTTATCGCTACTTAATTACAATTATATTGCTTTCTTGATTAAGTTTATTTAGATTGTCAATAATTTTCGGTTTCCACATCTGCCTGGGACTATTTGTAAAGGGACAATTCAACACCTAAACCATCATCGTATTCGGGGAAAGACATATCTTACATTCAATTGAAAATCGTCGAAGCGTTAATAAGCTTGTTACAAAACGACCTAGATTTTAAAACGTCTCGATTTTCGGTTCTTTTCGAATTCAAAAATAAATCGGAGAGGATGTGATCGGAAACGTGAGAATTAAAATTTTAAGGTCGCACCAAAAGTTTTGATAACAAATCGTGCCCAAAACGCACTCAATAATTAATAACAAAAAATATTTAGGGGTGAATTTATTTTTATATTCCATAAATTTAATTGGAACATCTTTGACATCTGTCAATCAATCAAATCAATCAAATCATTAAGTTAGGTTAGAATGAGGGATAAAAAATTTGCATACATTTCATTTGCATTCATCGATTTTTTCTTTTTAACTAGAAACCGTTATATTCCCACCGTTATTGTATTTGGTCGAAGGTCCGTACATCCCGGATTAAACCCGGAGAGGATAAATTGGCTTCGAAAAACCCCTTTTTAGGGATAAAATTTCGCCCTGTCAATCAAAACCACACCTGGACAACACCCGAAAATAAAAAAAAAATAACCCAAGAAATCGAACATTTCTGAATAAAATTCTTAACTGCTTAAAGATTCATACGAAAGCAAACAAGTCGTCAAAAAGGTGTCAGAAAACGTGTCTTTGTACAATGAGGATAAAAACCAGCCAATCTGGACGCGGAGTGTCATAGTGATGTGAATGAAGTCAGGGGGCAGTTTTGTGTGTCCCCAATTATGATACAATGGAAAATATGAACTGTCCGTTTTTATGTTCTTTTGACCTATGGCCATCGGGAACCCTACAACAATAACAAACACTTTTTAACTAAATTTTGAATCATCTTAAACCGTTTTAGACCACTCCAAAAAAAATTTAGACAACTTTTGAATATCTTAAAACTTCTCATTACATTTTAGACAAATTCATAAAATACTAAGATGTTTTAGACAACCTTTATATATTTCTAATATGTTCTAAAAAGATTTTAAACGATTTTAAAAAAAAATTATTAGATTTAATAAGATTTTGAATGATGTCAGAAAATTTTTGACAACAACAAACACTTTGAGATAAATTTTGAATCATCTTAGATAACCACAATTTATGGCAAAAATGCCTCCTCACATTTTTACAGCGCAAATTTCCATATTTTCGTACTTTTCTCGATATCTATGCGTCTAACAGTAAAAGTGCAAGAGAACAATATTGTTAAGTATAAAATTTGCTACAACTTTAATTGCAAAAGTTTTTTTGTAAAGTGTTCCCATTCCCCAGTGTTACCATCAACTTGAAACAACAACGAATTCATCAAATTTTCATATTTTCGTATTTTTCTTGATATCTATACATCTAAGAGGAATAGTGCAAGTGAGCAATATTGTTAAGCATCAAATTTGCCATACCTTTAAAAGTTTTTGCCTTTTTGGCATCAAACTATCAACTTAGTTTTCTAAAAAATCGTGAAAAATCCAATTCTCAAGACACCCTATTGAAGCTGTCGTTACTGATAGAGGAAAGTGTGTACTTTTTGATGAACAAAACCGCTTTTAAAAATCTCTATTCGTTCTTAAGATAATAATTGTTGAACTGAACCTAACTCAATAATTCGATAAAATTAGCAAGTTTTTACGATCATTTTTAAAAAATCGTGAAAAATCGAATTCTTAAGATATCTTGATGAAATTATCATCACTTATAGAAGAAAGTGTGTTCTTTTCGATGAATAAAGCCGCACTTAAAAATCTCTATTCGTTTTTGAGATAATATTGTCGAAAGCAACCTGAGTCACAAATAACGACATCTTGAAGGTGATCAAACATTTTATCTTGGGAAGATTGATCACAGGCAGATATAGAATAAAATGTTATTCGCAGAAGCAAAATATCAATAACAGAAATAAAATATTTGCACAGAAGCAAATCATCGTTAACAAATCAATGTTATGGTTATTTCTCAAAGAAAACATCGTGCGCAGAAGTAAAATGACATAGCCAGATTAAAATTACGGTGCAAATTAAAGCAAATAATCAGGTGTAAGAATATAACCTCAGGTGAAGAAATAAAATATTAATAATAAAAAAATCGATTTTTTTTGGAATTTTTAAAGGTTTGAAATGTATGGTTGAAAAATCGAATTTTTGGAAAATCTTTGTGGAAATTTACCAAGTTATCAATTAAAGTGTGAACTTTTTGGCAAATTTATCCGTTTTTAAAAATCACTTTTAGTTTTTGAGATATAAAGTATTTAAAATTGATCGAAATTTTAAAATCGCAATTTTAATCAGTAAATTTTAAAAATTCGTGAAAAATCGAATCGATGTGGAATTTTGATGAAACTTACACAAATCATCAATTAAGGTGTGAGCTTTCTGATAAATTTATCCGTTTTTAAAAATTACTTTTAGTTTTTGAAATATAAAGTATTTAAAATGATCAAAATTTCAAAATTGAAATTTTTATGGATTAAATTTAAAAATTCGTGAAAAATCGAATCGTTTGGAAATTCTGATGAAAGTTTTACAAGTCATCAATTAAAGTATGAACTTTTTGATAAACTTATCCGTTTTTATAAATCACTTTTAGTTTTTGAGATATAAAGTATTTAAAATGATCGAAATTTTAAATTGCAATTTTTATCGATTAATTTTAAAAATTCGTGAAAAATCGAATCGTTGGGGAATTTTGATGAAACTTTCACAAAATTATCAATTAAAGTATGAGCTTTTTAATTAACTTATCCGTTTTTAAAAATCACTTTTAGTTTTTGAGATATAAAGTATTTAAAATGATCGAAATTTTAAATTGCAATTTTTATCGATTAATTTTAAAAATTCGTGAAAAATCGAATCGTTGGGGAATTTTGATGAAACTTTCACAAATTATCAATGAGCTTTGTGGTAAACTTATCCGTTTTGAAAAATTTCTTTAGGTTCTTGAGATAGAAATTAATTTGTCTCTTTCAAATCTTTTCAAAAATTTGTTTAATTCCCAAGATAGAAATTTAACTGGAAGGACCATCTCCCTAGTTACTACCGAAAAAAAAACCTTTCACAAGATCATTTATAACCATCCTCCGAGGCGATAATGCGTGCTGTTGTCCTTTCGAAAAAAGGTTCTTTGACCATCGGACCACGAGATAACAATCGGGTGTCGCTTACAAAAGAAAACCAAAGAGGGGGTGCGAAACGCCCTTATTCCCAATAATACACTTCACAAGCGGTTTTTAAGTTTTGAGAAATTGCCATAATTTTAGAACATCACGAAAAAAAATAAAATAAACTCCACTTACCTCCCAAGCGAATCTAGCATCTTGAGGCACCCCTTCCCATTTACCTTGAAAAGGTCCATATTTCGTACCCCTGGCGATACCAAACTTGGCGAAAACACCGTTTTCTTTCGCCTCAACTTCTTGCGGTAAACTCCCCGCCATGATAACCACTTCAATCGCTTTCAGATACATCACTGAGTCCCCTTTTAACCCATTCAATTCGGCCAATTTATCATTGACGTATTTAAAAGGTTCCGAATAACCGGAAATTGGATCCTTAAAAAATTTTTCAACCGGATACAATTGATCGAGAGGTTTTAACGTTAATTTTAATGAATCCTTCGAAATGTCCGGATTATTATTACTAAAATCGTAATCTTGTCGTTGAGTTGTCTCCATGTCTACGTCGTCTTCGCAAACATCTACGGATTGTGTGGACAGCTCTAATTCATCTTCGCTGCCTTCTAAAATATAAAAGAAATAAAATAAAAGAATTAGAACATTATTTTTTGGGTTTTCTTAAGTTCTTATTGTTGCAGGGCTAAATTAAAAGGAAATCCGCCGACTGAAGAGATAAAGTTTTTCAGCCAAACCACAAAACAGAAATTGTTAGCTTGATTATGCGCTAATTAATTGTTATCTTTAAAGGCGTTTTCCTGTTTTGCGTACGCGCTTTCGGAAAGTTTTAAAAATTTATTATATTATAACAATTTTGTTACTTCTCTTTATTTTAATCTTTTTGGAACCGATTCATATCTATGAAAAATCAAAATGTATTAGATAGGCTTTATATATTTCTGATAGGTTCTAAAAAGATTTTAAATGATTTTGAAAAATATTATTGGAATCGTTTTAAACCATTTTAGACAACTCCAAATAGTGCAAAAAAAAATTAGACAACTTTTGAATATGTTAATACTCTCCTATGACATTTTAGGTAAATTCATACGGTACCAAAATGTTTTAGACAAGCTTCAGAGAGGTTCTAAGAACAGTTTGAAATGTTTTATTTGATTTTATAAGATTCTGAAAGATTCATGATGACGTTGAATGATGTCAGTAAATTTTTGACAACAACAAACACTTTTTGAATAAATTTTGAATCAACTTAAGCTATTTTTTACAACTCCAATTGATGCCAAAAATGTCTCTTTACATTTTTGCAGCACTAAAAAAACTTTCTAAGGTTTTATGCCACCTCTTCATATTTTCGTACTTTTCTCGATATCTATGCATCTAAGAGTAAAAGTGTAAGAGAGTAATATTGCTAAAGATAAAGTTTGCTACAACTTTTGTTCTAAAAGTTTTTTTGTAAAACGGTCCAATTTCCCAGTGATACCATCAACAACTTGAAAAAACAATAAACTTGTCAAATTTTATATTTTTTGTATTTTTCTCAATATCTATGCATCTAAGAGTAAAAGTGTAAGAGAGCAATATTGCTAAGCATAAAATTTGCTACAACTTTTGTTCTAAAAGTTCAAGCTATATTCAGATATTTTTGTGAAATCCAAAACAACTTGGTTTTCACGCTTCTCTTTATTTAGAACAAGAGTTACATTGAAAAAATCGTGAAATATCGAATTTTTAAAATTTATTGATGAAATTATCTTCACTTATAGAGGAAAGTGTGTACTTTCTGACGAAGAAAACCGCATTTAAAAATATCCATTCATTTTTGAGATAATTATTATTGAACTCAACCTCAATTGTTATGACTTCTTGAAATTAGCGAATATTTACAACAGTTTTTAAAAAATCGTGAAAAATCGAATTCTTAAGATATCTTGATGAAATTATCTTCACTTATAAAGGAAAGTGTGTACTTTTTGATGAAAAAACCCGTACTTAAAAATTTCCATCCGTTTTTGAGATAATTATCGTTGAATTCAACCTATATTTTTATGACTTGATAAAATTTGCAAGTTTTTACACTAATTATTAAAAAATCATGAAAAATTGAATTCTTAAGATATTTTGATGAAGTTATCTTCACTTATAGAAGAAAGTGTGTACTTTCTGATGAAGAAAACCGCATTTAAAAATATCCATCCGTTTTTGAGATAATTATTATTGAACTCAACCTAAATTTTTATGACTTGAAAAAATTAGCAAATTTTTAATCATTTTTAAAAAATCGTGAAAAATCGAGTTCTTAAGATGCCTTGATGAAATTATCTTCACTTATAAAGGAAAGTGTGTACTTTTTGATGAAAAAACCCGTACTTAAAAATTTCCATCCGTTTTTGAGATAAATATTGTTGAACTCAACCCAAATTTTTATGACTTGATGAAATTAATAAATTTTCCTGTTTTATGTCCACATTTTCGGAGAATTAAAAAAAAATTAATTAATTTAAAAACAATTTTGTTACTTGTCTTTATTTTAATCTCAAGAGGATCTCTTTGGAACCGATTCACATCCATCAAATCGCTTTAATTTAGGATTAAAAGGATTTAGTAATTTTAATACAACGAGACGTTTCTTTTATGACGTTAATAATAACGTAATCTTAATTATTTGTTTATAAACAAAGTTAATTTGAAGGAGTGTTTACGTTTTGAATCACAAAAAAGAAGCGGAGTTTCTCCCAACATTTTTTTGTGCTTCTTAGAAGTAGATTTGATATCGAACGTAAAAATGTAAATATCGGATAAGATAAATATTTGCTTTTTTTGGTGATCATCCAACGAAATCGTTGTAATCAAGAACCAGTAGTTTTGCGGTTAATAATTTACCCCGCTTTTTCTTATCTTTAAGACCGAAAAAGGTGGCCCCTTTTTAGTTTTGCCGCAAAAAGATACCGCCCTGTTTGTGTAGGATTAGTGAAAATCCCTTCATCGGCAAAGTTATCATGTTTCCGCAGTATTATGCCGAGATTTTAGCACCCCAAGGTATCGAATCTCACGAATATCTGTTAGGAAATACGAACAACATTTGCTTTTGAATCGTTATTTTGATTATTTTTTGGTTTTATTTCGCGCGCAATAAATTTAATATTATTTCGGGGACTCGCCGTACGCATTGTCCACCTCCAAGAAAGACACCTGCGAACTGTTAAATGTCGAACAAAAGGCCCCGGATGGGTCGTAAAAGACGACACTTTATATTAGCGAAACGTTGTGCCCGGCACGGATTGTACATAATTAAAAATCGGATCTTTTCTTCCACGAAAAACAATTTTTTTTTGATTCTCAAATCTTAATAAGAACTAACCTGTCATTGTTGTGTCATAAACCATTTAAAAACTGAAACCTGCACTTATAATTAAATCCAAGAATTGTTCAATTACACAAAAAAAAACTTTTTTTTTTGATTTGGTGTAAAACGTAGTTGTGATTCGCGCGCTATCTTACGTAACACTGGTTGATCCTGTTCGTTCCCGGATCCAGGATGTACCGAAAGGGGGCGTACCCGTCGTCCTGGAGGGGATAGAAAGGCGTGGCCGATCCCTCAGGATCACCTCTATCCCGTCAGCATCAAAACAGATCACCGGGAGAGGAGACAGATCTATAGATCTGTCTTGGAAACTGCGCGCGACGCTCACTGCGCAACACAATCGACTAACCATTTCCACGATTTTCACCCCTTTACAAAAAAATTTCGTTATAAAAATTCGCCCAAGATAACGAAATCTCCATGACAACTAATCTTTGATTTAGTACAAAAAAGGGCAAAAACTTTTCTAACTCACTGACTTTTATAAAGTATCAATTACGAGATCCCTTAAAGGGATGATTCCGAACCTATATGCAAATACCCAGATAAACCCCTATTTAAAAAGCGATATATAACAATAAAACGACGTTTCGGTGTCAGGGTAAGATCCTCGAGTTGAACGTCGTGAAAAAGGGTAAGATTTAGCGTGTACACCCTCCCCCTTTATTCTTTTTTCCTCTTCTCCGCGTTAGATCCGTATGAATATATGTGTCCCTGCCGCACACGAGATTGCGCCCGCTTTTATTTATAGCCTCACATTTACCACTTGCTTATTGCCTTCGGAGGGTTAGAGGTATATACGCAAATCGTCCCCGTTTATGAAACCCGTGGTCTGTATTTGATAAAGACGGATGTTTCGAATTGGATTATGGGTGAAATCATTTTGCCGGCGGAAAACAAACTAAAGTTCCTCTTGGATTAATTCTGAGGTGTGCTAGATAAGTTTGAGTTTAGCCCAATTTTCTTTTCATGATATTTTTACAACAAAGTTAAAATTTGGCACTTACTTGTACTAAAAAGTGAGAAATTTGAGAAATTTCAAGAAGTCAAAATGTAATGTTTAGATTTTTTATATCAACTGGTAAGCGATATTAATGGCAAAATAACTCAAGTACACTGCAATGCAAGTCTATATGAAACGGTGTTTAGGGTTGGAGATGAAATTTTTGATTCAACGTCAGAGTGAGCTAATCCTAAAGTAAGCTTAACTAAAATCTAATGTTCAAATCAAGATTTGAAATTGTTTCGTGGGTTAAAGATGCAATTTTTAACTCAAAAACAAATTGAAAAAACAACAAATTTGACGAATTTTCAAATATCTATTCATCTAAGAGTAAAAGTGTAATAAAGAAATATTGTTAGGCATACAATTTGCTACAACTTTTGTTCTAAAATTCCTCAAATTTTCATATTCTCGTATTTTTCTCGATATCTATGCCTCTGAGAGCAAAAGTACAACAGAGCAATATTGTTAGGCATAAAATTTGCTGCAACTTTTGTTCTAAAAGTTTTTTTGTAAAATGCCCCCATTCCCCAGTGTTACCATCAAACGTTGAAAAAACAATGAATTTGTGATATTTTTATATTTTCGTATTTTTCTCGATATCTATGTCTCTGAGAGCAAATGTATAATAGAGCAATATTGTTAAGCATGAAATTTGCTACAACTTTTGTTCTAAAAGTTCTTTTGTAAAACGCCCCGATTCCCCAGTGATACCATCAGCAACGTAAAAAAACAACGAATTCCTCAAATTTTCATATTTTCGTATTTTTCTCGATATCTATGCCTCTGAGAGCAAAAGTACAACAGAGCAATATTGTTAGGCATAAAATTTGCTGCAACTTTTGTTCTAAAAGTTTTTTTGTAAAATGCCCCCATTCCCCAGTGTTACCATCAAACGTTGAAAAAACAACGAATTTGTGATATTTTTATATTTTCGTATTTTTCTCGATATCTATGTCTCTGAGAGCAAATGTATAATAGAGCAATATTGTTAAGCATGAAATTTGCTACAACTTTTGTTCTAAAAGTTCTTTTGTAAAACGCCCCCATTCCGCAGTGATACCATCAGCAACGTAAAAAAACAACGAATTCCTCAAATTTTCATATTTTCGTATTTTTCTCGATATCTATGCCTCTGAGAGCAAAAGTACAACAGAGCAATATTGTTAGGCATAAAATTTGCTGTAACTTTTGTTCTAAAAGTTTTTTTGTAAAATGCCCCCATTCCCCAGTGTTACCAT